TTACAATTACGATCATGTATTGGGGCTTTTCTTTCTCTATTGTCTGTATCTGCTTTTAGACTTAATAGCTATTATCTTAGTTTGATTTGATTTCATTTTTAGCTATGGTATAAGCACTTTCCAAAATGCCTCAACACAATAAATGAAAGAGAGAGAGAGAGAGAGAGAGAGAGAGAATATGATAGACATGATCCATAGATATCCACTGGACTTTATGGCCTATGGAATAGAAGTTTAAGTTTTTTAATTTGATGATGATGGTCTGTCCCCAGCCTAGCTTTATATCCTCATCTTTCAATCTGTACTTCAGTTTCATGGCTATCAACCATTCTTTGTCCTATGTCCAACCGTGAGCCTGGCCACCATTGTGCCTCTGCTGATACTCTTTCTCTCTCCCTTTTTAAGATTTATTTTTGTCCTTCAATTCTTTGTCATATATCCACCTCCATGAAATCTTTCATAGTTTTTTATTTGCAATTCAGGCCCCCTCTACACATCCACAGAATTTCATGTTTGAATTTATGATCATACTCCAGAGAAGAGACAGCAAGTGTGCAGGTGAGAAGATACTGGGGCTTGTGTGCCACTGTCACTTTCAAGGCACAAGACAGTGGGATTATAATGTAAACTGATTTCCAATTTTCTCATCTATGAAATATGTATAGGAAATACATGCAGTCTCTGACCTTGTAGTGCTATGGTAAAGATGGATGACAGTAACTCCATTGCCCAGGGTAAACATAGTGATAGTAGTTGCTTTTGTGAAGATGATAGTGCAGCAGCCTGCTTGGTGATGTAGTTCATTGAGCATGCAATTTTCTTCCTATAGACTGTATAGATTTGTCAAATCGTTCTTTATCTAACCCAAATCCCTGATGCTTTTCTTAGCAGCATACACATAGGGATAGCCTAACAGCCATTTGAATGGATGAAGAGATCAAAATGACAGTATGTATCCAAATCTGGATCACATGTAGTGTTCCCATGCATTAGGAGGTTGAGGCTACAGATGCCCTCCACCCTTGCTTTTTAAGCAGTTCCGGGTAGAAGTCAGCAAATCAGTCCAAGTTTCTGACAGTCCCAGCTAAATCTTCCAGTTTTACTGCTTTGAAGTTTGTGGTTCCACCTGCTCCATGTGTCTGGCCATTCTCTGCCATCTGTGAGAAACAGACCAATGACCTACATACGAATCTGAGAATTCTGGGATGTTCAGCTTATAGACTATCCTGAGATTTTTATGGTTAATGAATTGTTGGGAGCTTACCTCCTAGCTTTTTTTCCTTCTCTTTTAAGACTATAAGATATTGAAAAGCATTCCAGCCAAGAGAATTATTGCCTCTCCTTGCCTAGATCTTAAATCTTTGTTCAAAGACAGCTTGTTTTAATTGAAAATGTTCCATCAATCTCTGCCCTTCTTCCTAGCTATGTCCAGTTTCTTGACTCATTTGAAGCCTCTGTAGAAAATAAGCTTTGGGATTTGAGGAATATATATGAGAGCTGGAGGGGAAAAGAGAAATAGGGTTGTCCCAGACAAGCCTTATCTTTAAAACACTATCTTTTACATAGATTTTATATAAAACCATTGACATTTTATAGTGGATTTTTTTTTACTGAAATAACCCAACTCCTTTCCCTTGAAGAAATTCAAGAGGGTTGATGAACACTGATACCTTCTGTACTTGCTTCAGATCTTGTTATTGGGATGGGTTGGAGAGGAAGAATCCAGGCTTCTGTCTCATTCGTTCATTCATTCCATACCAGTATTACTAAACAACTAGATGCGACCACACACACTCTCCAGCAACCCAGTGAGAGAGGCATTATTGACATTTTACAGATGAGGAAATGGAGGCTGGAGAAGACAGGAGATGGAGCAGCTTGAGCAAGGTCATTCGATATCCTACTTCTCAATTTCTATGTTAGATATTCCCCCCCAAACTTAGTTGCTTAAAGCAACAGTAGCTATGTTATTATTCTTTTGTGTTCTCTAGGGGCCCGTGGGTGGTTTCAGCATGGAGTCTGAAGTAGTTGCAGTCATGCAATGACTACAGCTGGAACAGCAGAGTAAAGGAGAGGCATAGGCTGATCAGGAATTTCTCCTCTCTCTTCATGTGATCTCAGAGCCTCTGAGAAATGATTGCGTGTATGAAGACTCAGGACTCCAGCTTGAACATTCCAGTAAATCAGATAGCAGTTACTCTGCCTCTTCTGTCATTTCTACTTCTGCCATTCTTTTGATTAGAAGTAAGTTATAAGTCCATGAAAATTCAAGGGGAAGGGCTCAAAACTCTTAATGGAAGAAATAGCAAGGTCATAGCACAGAATCATGTAAAAGGGGAGCTATTATCACAGACATTTCTAGAAAATGCCATCTGCCATAGATAGAATGCAGGAGAGCCAGAATTTGGATTAGACATGTCTGCTTCCAAAACTTTCTAGTTCAGCCCCCAGGAACCTCTGTTTCCCTCTGTGCCCTGTAGCTCTTCCTGTCATCACACAAATACTTGACTTGGTCTACAAAGCTCACTAGAGACTGGCTGGGTTAAAGCATCAAGCCTGTGTCTCTGCAGGCCCTGGCCATGAGATGGCCTTCAGGGGCTGCTGGTCAGAGAGGCCATGCCCAGTGTCAGCTTGTGGATTTCTTAGAGAAGAGGACAGGGAAGGTCAGTCACATCCAGAGGAAGAAAGCAGGTGGCAGCCCCAGCGCACAGCAAGCCTGTGGTGCATCTCGATGTCATAAACAACGTGTCTGGTGTTTTTCCTTCTCCCAGAAGATGCTGGCCTGGGATGACTCAGGCTTTGACAGAAAAGGTGCCTTCAAGTCAGGAAATAGCCCAGGGCAATGGAAAACTCACAGCTCAGGAGTCATATTTGCCTAGATTTGAGTCCTGATTCTACCATTGCTGGTTATGTGGCCTTGGATAAATTTCTTAATCTACCTAGTAATGTTTATGAGGTGCCTAACCTTTGTATAAATCACCTACCCTCTCAGAACAGTGGACCCAGTTTATTGGGTTGTTGTAAGGATTAATTGAGTCAATATACATAAGATTGCTGAGCACATATTAAAGATTACATAGGTGTTAGCTATTGTTATTTACACGTTTAGCAAAAGTATATGTCACACTTATTGCCAGGTCAATGTGTAGTTATTTAGGCAATCAAGTAAGGCAGTTATAGCTTCTTACCCACAGGGCATGAAGGCCAGAGAAGCTACTACAAAGAGGAAACAGTTGAAATATACTAGGATGAATGGTCTGGTTGATGAGTAGCTAGAAGATGCATGGGAAAACCTGGTTGGGGGTGGGTGGAGGGAGAACCTTCTCTCAGTGAGGATATCAAGAAACATGAATCTATCAAAGTGATAACTGAATCGAAGTCTGGGGGCTGAGAAGGAATCAGTCCCATAAGGGGAGTGGTCTGGGAAGGTGGCACCATGGGGGCAAACTCTTTCAGGCAAAAGAAGTTCAGGATTGCTGGAATGTGGATGTCAAGTGGGTGGAAAGTGAGAGGCTGTAAGCTCAGACCTGAGAAAATAAATAGAGACTCATCTATGAACAGCCCTAAAAATCATGGCAGAAATGTGGACCTCAAAAGCAATTGGGAGCCATTGAAGGTTTTACTCCAATAAATGACCTGGCCAGACATGCATTTTGCATCAATCTCCATGTCTACTCTATAGAAAATGTCCTATAGGCCGGGCGCTGGTGGCTCACGCCTGTAATCTTAGCTACTCAGGAGGCTGAGATCTGAGGATCATGGTTCAGAGCCAGCCCAGCCCAGGCAGGAAAGTCTGTGAAACTCTTATCTCCAATAAACCACTAGAAAACCTGAAGTGGTGCTGTGGCTCAAGCGGTGGAGCGCTCGCCTTAAGCTGAAGAGCTGAGGGACAGCACCCATGCCCAGAGTTCAAGCTCCACGACTGACAAAAAAAAAAAAGACAAAAAAGAAAATGTCTTGGAGAAGGAGGCCAATTGGAACAGGATAATAGTACTCTAGGGGGAAGACAATTCTGGGCTTTCCTAGAAGATGGGAAAAAATGGACAAACGTAAGAGATAGGAGGTCTTACAGGAAAAGGTTGGTGGCAACTTGGATGTTTAGTGCTAAGAGATGTGGGAGAAGGAATGGCTAAGAGTTAACACTTAATCTCCATTTATAAGATAAATGGCAGAGACTTTGAATAAAGTCAGTTCTGAAGCCATGGATATAAGGGCAAAAGAATCCATTCACAGCCCCGGGAAGAGGAGTGGAACACCATGAAAGGCTCTTCTGAAGAGTTATCACATGAGCCAAGGGAAAGTGGGAGCAACCCTTCGGGCAGAGAAAATAATAAACTATGGGAAAGGCCAGAAAGGTCAAATAGGGTACACAGGGAAGATAATCTGAGCTGCAGAAGAGATTATTGTTGTACGAATTCTCATTAGGGTGTTCATGGGGAATTAATATGATAATAAGCAGGTCATAATTCCTTATCCTAAGGATTGGCAGAATATCAAGATGGACTGGGAATAGTATGTAGAGTCACAGGGTTTCTCCATTGTCACCAAAGTTATGCAAGTCAGGGACTGAGCTCTGAGGGTTGGCTGATCTATATATAACGAAAGATCTTCTGTCTGTGGGTCTTTCTTATCTGGCTTCATCTTGAGCTACCTGAGGCCAGAGAAGGGCTCAGGTTTTCTGAAGGGCTATGAACTCACAGTGGTTTCTAAAAAGCCATGCACACTCACACACACCCTTTAGGAATAATGCTACCTAGACCTTTCCCAGCGCCCCCCTCCTCCTCAGTTCTATGTTCTTGGGCAAATTTCACTTCTATGTACAGAATAAGGATAACAATGATGATTACCATTTAAGGTTTCCTGCGGATCCAAAGAGACAGAACATACTCAGAACAGTGGATGGCGTTCCTGTTTTATCACTGCTGTCATGTTTATTACTAGGCATCCTTCACCCTGTCTCAGTCTCTTTCAATGATACTCCTTAACACACACCCCTGCAGATATGAAGCTGGGACGTAATGTGGCGAGGACGTTCATGGATTATTACCGCCTGAACCCCCTAGTCGAGAAGATGGCCGTCCCCGTTCCTAGACTGCGGTAAGTGGCAGAGCTAAGCTCTCTGGACTGTTTCATTGGCTCTGTATTTAGGATAGCTTCCTTTAGCCTCTTACTGGTGCCCAGTTTCCCACCTGTGCCACAAGAAAGACAATCACAGCCCTGCCACAGGGACCGCCTATGTCCTGAGCATAAAATATCATGACATTTCATCTCCTCTGGTTTCTGGGTTGAGGTTGTAGATTTCCAACTAGATTACCAAGGCTTTGACTTATCTGATAGAGCTGTAATGCATTCTGTATCCCACATACAGGCTGCATGTTAGTACAGTCCAATGATACCTGTCCAGTGACAGAGATGGGGTGGTCTCATTCCTGGTCCGCCATGGGAATCCCCAGGGTGTTGTTAGAGTGTTAGAGTGCTGAGATCAGTCATTATCCTAAATTAGGAGGTGTTTCCATATGTTACTTCTCCTCTAGAGTTTTTATATGAACACCAATTCTTCAACTTCCCCTGCATCAGTACACTAGGTACCATGGTATCCACTTTTCAGATTACTGTGAGATGCTCATTAAAGCACCCAGTACATTGCCAGGTATACAGATGTTCTGTTAGTACAGTGTTGTCCCATTCCATGAAGATTTGAAGGTTTGGACTAGAAAGGACACACACATGAAGATTTCTACCTCGGGTTCTCTGATGGGACTCACTTGCAGGTTCAATGAGGAGAAAAAGCTGGGAAGTGAGCATCCATCTTGTCTGAGGGCTGGACAACAGCCCAACTCACTGAGTGTTCTCATGTCTGCTGGTGGACAGTCCAGTGAGTCCACTGACATCCCATGGCATCTGGAATGTTCTAAAACTGCCGTACCTCTGGGCCTCGTCTCCTGTTCCTCTAGTAGTTCAGCTTCCTGGAATGACACAACAATGTCCAACTCCCTGTTCCTGCCAGACCATTCTTTCCACTAACCTTCCCCATGTATTTTGGTGCCTCAGGACCTTAGGCTGAGGTCCACATTTCTGCCTCCTCACTCATTATTACTAATAAAAATAAACAATACAAATTACTGTTTTTTGTTGAATGAAGTACTTTTTGTACATCATCTTATTTATCTCATGTGGATATTATATTTCTCATCTTAACAAAATGGTGGAGAGGATTACTTGAGATTACAGAGTTTTGAGCGGAGTTTGACCCAAGGCTCTTACAATTCCAAAGCCATTAACCTCCACTTCAAGTGTAGGTTCAAATCCATTCTCAGGCTCATAGAAACTGGTGGCGTAATTGTAGTCAAGTTTTGTGGCCACTTAAAGCTTTTCTCTACCTACTTATTGAATAGGGGTAACAACAACAACCTCTAATGATGATTTTGAAGATGAGTTACAAACTTAATATAATGCCCAACAGACAATAAGTGACTCAAAAATATTTTCATCTCCTCTAGTGTCTGGGATGTGGTTGCAGCTCTCTCACTAAGTCATGATAAAGTCCCTTGACTTATCTGATTGGACCAGATGATGTCTTAGAAATAGCTGTTCCACAATGACGTAAGTGAGGCATCTCTGAGCCCCAGATCCATGTAGACAGTGAATGACCCTGTGTTTGGATGACATCTTATCTCAGATTACTTACAAGTCATTTAGGGTCTTTGTTTCCCCTCAGCCCCACCTATCCTATGTATTAGAAACTTCTACAGGAGCATCACATCTGTTTCTTCTCTGCACCTCTACAGGACCCACCCTGCACTGAGCATGTAGGCATGAAGTCCCTGATCATTCACTTAGGAAAAAGCACACTTTATGCCAGGCCCACCTTGGTGGGAGGGAGGGGCCAGAATGAGCCTGTAAGTGACCTGCCTTTGAGTAGCTCACCTCGAGAGGCAAGTACTCACTTCATTCTTGGAAGTCATTCTTGATTGGTTAAAGTTCTTAAAAGTGTATAGCTGTAGAAAATGCAAAAGAATTCTTAAGAGTCTCATTTACAAGTTAATTTAGGGATTTTCTCTTTCAGGTCTCTTTTCTGCCTGAATAAAATTATCTTGACCTTTAACTACATTTTTCTTGGATGTTGCACTGTCACAGAACAATGAAATAGTGCTGACATTCCAGGAGACCTTGGCTATCATCCTGACATGGATGAGTTGAGGACTTTGAGGGCCAAGGAGTGGAAGGACTGGTCATGTGACCTGGCACCTTGTCACTGGGTCAAAAGGATGCAGGGCACTTCTTGATGATTTGTTTTCAACTGCTCAGTTTACCTCTTTATCCTGAACTCTAGAATTCTCTTTTAGGAAAAAAAAAAAATAGCCCTCAAGCTCTTTCCTTATAGCCTGCAGCTTTGAGGGGTTGAGGCAAATAAACCCACACTCAAATTAGGAAAACAACTTCACTCCCCTCCCATTCCCATGGGTCTACTACATCAAACTTCGAATCTCCTTTTGTTCTGAATTGGTCAATAACCCTTAAGAATGAATTCCCAGAAATATGAGGCTCTGAGCTCTAAATGGGGTTCTGAATAGTTCCCCCACCTTTGGGGGGAGGGATATTATTTTCCATCCAAGCATCAAATAGCTTAAGTGAAAGAGCAGTTCTGGTTTTCAAAGAAAATTGCATGTTTTGACTCAAAACTAATCTTTGTTTTCTCTCATCTCTATGGATAATTACAATATGTCACTTTCCACCCAAATGCTGGCAGGAGCTTGTCGGCATCCTTGGGTGCTGGGCGGCCCTACAGAAAAGGACCCTGGGGAAGGGCAGTGCTGTGCGTACAAGAGCTCGGGCTCAGCATCAATTATCAAAGCCAAGACCCTACATTTATTTTGACCACAGTAACACAATCATAGAGCAACCCAAAGTGCACCATGAAAGGGGATAAAATTAGACTGGAACAAATGAACAGGCCAAGTGTGCTACTGTGAGTAGACAGAGCATGAATGTAGGTCAGGTTCAGCCATGGACTGGGAGCTCCGTGTGAGGTGTTGTGTTTGTGTGTGTGTGTATGTGCATACATGCATCAGGACCTATGCTGAGGGATCATAGACAGTCCCTGCCAACCAGAAGCTCTGATTTATGGAAGGTAACGAAATGCATACATGCAAATAGAGCAACACTGCACAGTGCACAATAAGTGTTCAACTCTGTTGGACTATATCCTTTCTCAAAAACCTCCCATGGCTCTCCATTACCTACAGAGTGATTCTTCAATCCCTCTTCTTGCTATTCAAGACCCCAGCCTGTATATAATCTTCATATACTGCTTCCTTCCATACCCCTGCCCCTGAGAGGACCTATTTTTTCCTCATTTCCTCTTCATCCACTGAACAATTTGGCCATTTCCTGCCCCATATCTTTGTTCATCATTTTCCCTCAGTCTGGAATGTTCTCATTTGCACCTTATAGACAGTGAACTCCTATTTACCTGTTGAAAACGCAGTCCATATTTCACATCTATTGCCCTATCCATCTTTTTCACCTGAGATAGAGCTGTCCTCTCAGCCAAGTTTCTAGCTACATTGTGTCTGTGTCTGTACCTCTAGTATGGTACCTGTGTTGTACTGTCCTGTCCAATCCTTTCTCATTTTGTATCCTTAGTGACTGGTGCAGGGCTGGCCTAGATTAAGTCCTAAATAAGCCCTGAATGTAACTGAACATAAAATTGTAGAACTAAAGAAGCCCCCAGAAATCATCTTCAGCTCCTTTGCACTACAGAAAAGTGAGACCCACACAGATGTTACTCTCCATTTAAGCTGGTGAGTATCTGGTAGTTGACAAGTACCTCCCAAAAGGCTTCAGGGAGGAAGTTGGGTTTCCATTTGGTTCTGAAGAACATAAGGGATTTGAATCAATGGACTAGAAGGAGAAAAGAGGTTATCCTATGTTGAGGCCAGTGGGAAGGCAAGATAGTGGAAGAAGCCTGGTTATAGGAGAGGCTCATTTTCTGTGAAGTTGATTCTCAAAAGAGTCTGGAGAGGTATCAGGGAATGCCTCTGCAGGGTGCAGGGAGATCAGACATTTGCCTTCCAGTGTCTCTTCCTCTGTGCTCCCGTCCTGGATTACAGAAGCTTTTGCTCTGCTAGACCCTCTTTGAATCATGCTGCATGTGCGCACTCCTTACTAGCCACTGGATGCCTGATTCTCATTTAGTCACCTCCCCAAATCTTCCCCACCTGTGACTAAATTACAGCTTATCTCTCTCGGGCCAATTCACCTTCCTTTATCCCCATAAAAACATACCAAAGTATACCCATCTACATGCTATGTTCTTTTGGGGGTGCTAGGAACAATGCCCTTTGATGGCATGACTCTCACCATGTATATATAGGCAGTCATGGGGGCTGAACTCTGGGTTCTGTGCCTCACCTCTTCAGCTCAGGGCTAGTGCTCTACCACTTGAGCCACAGCGCCACTGCTGGCTTTTTTCTGCTTGTGGGGGCTGAGGAATCGAACCCAGGGCCCCATGCATGCGAGGCAAACACTCTATCATTGAACCAACTTTCCAGTCCCTCACTTTATATTTTTAAAAACTCTTCTTCAGCCTCCATTTCACCAGAGCCTATGAGTTAGTAAGGGAATGCATGGGTGTTTCAACTTTACAATTAAAGAAATTGATGGAGGTAGAGAGAAGAAAAGATCACTTCAAGGTCACTTTGTCTCAGGACTAGGGACGGTCATAGAGCACTTCCCTCTTATGCATGAGGCCCTGGGTTTCATCTCCAACACTATTTTTAAAAAAAAAAACCACCAACCTATCAACCAAAGACTCAAAAAGAGATCACAGTGTCTGTAAGCAGCATTCTAATATGTACTCTGTAAATCCAGTGCTAAGGAGCGCTGAAGTCTAGATAATGTTCACTTACACTGACAATGACCCTGGGCTGGCTTCCTCGTGTGGGGTGGGGAACCTGTTAGAGCCAGCTGTACTTTGTGTACCACTATACACTCCATCTCTACCTGACTCTTTGTTCATCAACAAGGAAAAAAAAGTGGATTGTCCAAGATCAGAGCATTCTGGGCCTCAGGCCACTTCAATCTTAACACAAATATAGCCCAAGAGATTCCCATGTTTATGGAATTTACCACATGGTGCTGTACGTTTTAGGTGTTTTTGTTTGTTTGTTGTTTGTTTTTGAGACATGGTCTTGGCTAGGTAACCCCGACTGGCTTTGAACTTGAAATACTTCTGTCTCTGCCTCCCAGGTTTGAACTTTGTAATGTTACTCTGTAAAACTATCTCCTCTACTGAACTGCATGTAACTTGAGGACAGCATCAATGTCTGCCTCCATGTCTGTCACCTCCAGAGTCTTCAGTACCTAACACAGTTCATAACAAATTACGGTCGAGAAGGGACTATTTAGCCCATTATTTAACCATTATTTAACCTTGCAACACCACTGCAAGATTAGAGTGTTTTATTTTTATTTTACAAATAAAATTCAGAGAAATTAAATTCTTTGCCCTAAGTCACCCCTCTCAGATCAGTTCTTTTGGGCTCCAAAGTCCATTTTCCCCACTAGAAATAAATCTTGGCCTGATGACTAAATAAATGTCATACCAACCTATCAGTCAAAAACATGACAAATAAGGCACTGATAAAATAAAATATAGAAGGGAATAAAACACAATCATCAGTTCACTGTCCAACATGTGACCACAACAGACACATAATCAAGTACAGGACAGTGATGGTAAGAGTGTTGCATTTGGTGCTGGGTACTGGGACACAGAAATGAATCAGAATCATGTCATCTCCGTCAGCTCTCAAGCTTGCCAGGGAGAGAGCGACATTATAAAAGGCCATCCTTCATCTATACTAAGAATTATAAAAGAACTGCAATCCCCTGGTAGTTAGAATGAGGTCCCAGATCCTCCCAAGCTGTAACTTTTTCTTAAATAAGGGCCTAAGGTTTTTCCTCTTAAGCGTTGGGAACCTTAAGGTAAGCAAACCAGCTCTATTGGCCTCCTTCCAAAATGCAAAGCTGTGTCTTTTCTGTGTGTCTATCTCCATCTCATTGTGGAATTGTTTGCGTTAGAAGCAGAGTAGAAAGGTAGGACGTTGGAGCTGTAAAACAGTTTTTTTTTTCCTTCTGTAGAATCAGAATGATTCAGTGTCTCCATCTGCCCATCTAACAGGCATTCGTTGAACTTCATTGCCTGCTTTGAACCAGGCCCCAAACTGGGTTCTGGGGACAATGAGAAGAGGATGACCAGCCCACTGCTCCTAGAAGGTCACAGTGCAGTGGGGGAGATAGACATGCACACAGATCATTTCGTTACAGTGTGATATGTGCTGTCTTCTCTCTTTCTATTATCTCCGTCTTTGCAGGAAAGAAAAATCCCCTCCCTCCAAGCACCCAGTCCTGCCGGGCCCGATCAGCAGCTACCCCAACAGCAAAGGGGACAAGAAGAACTCAGTGAACCACAGAGACCCTTCAACCCCTTTTTAAAGACATGGAATCTGGAGAGGTTTTGTGGAGACAGGAGCACGTGCATTTCCTGCTGGGGCATGAAATGAATCATCCTTTTCTGGTTTCCAAGACAAGGCTTTGTGGGATAAGGCATATGGTTAATGAAAGGGAAGGGAGAAGGGGAAAAAAAAGAAAAGAAAAAGAAATTTAATCATTGATTTTCCTTTTCACCAATGGAAAATCAATTGTGAGCCTTTAACACAAGGCTGAACAAAATAGAAGACTGGAACCAGGTGAGCACAGATGCGATTTTCCACAACATAGAGATTCTTCCAGGATAACGGAAAACCTACCCGTCCTTCTTAAGAGGTTTGACACGTTTTAGGTCAGTTTCTCTAGAAGACCTCTTACTTTGCAAAGGTATACAGTGATGTTACAGATAGTCCCTTTTGAAAATAAATTATCATTGTTTCTTTTTTAGCTTTTTAAACACATAGTCCATATTTTCTGATCCAAAACATATGCAACCCTAAGGCAAATGTCCTGTTTTGAACAGTGGGTCAGAATGTTTGAAATCACAGTGGTCTTAGATGGTTATTGTATCTATAAACTGCATGCTTTCTGATGCCTCCAGCCCCCAGCATGCAACTGCTCAAAACTGTTCTGAGAGCTGTTTCTCCATTTCCTGGGTAGTTTAATTGAAATTTTAGCTCCAGAGACGAGAAGAATTGCTTATTCATTTGAAAAGATCTATCGTGGTTATAGTCTCCAAGTCCCTGGTGACAGAGATCAAGGGAGGTTAGCACTGATAATCTGCAAGGAGGAAAGGGTGATTGCCAGGTAAGGGAGATGCAAAAGACAAAGAATGCACCCCTGAGACAGGTATGAATGATAAAAATAAAGTAACAATACTAGCATTTCCCAAGGCAGGAAAAGGTAAATATTGTGCATTTTCTTCTGAAGAGTAAAGTGCCTTTGTATGATGAATGGGTCCAGCAGAATGTGTTTCCTTCCTGTCTATAGATGCAGCAGGCTGAGTCACCATGACAGCCTGCTAATTAAAATGACCTCCTGGAAATGAGGATTAGGAGATAGGGAGAGAAAGAAGGCTCCAGGGAGATAGGGCCTCCAGCACAAACCTCTGGTTAAGCATTCTTTCTATGTGTGTTGGAGATTTTCAAAGTTTGTTGCAAAAATCAAGAGCAAGCGGGTTCTCTTTTGCATATTGGTTCGTTGGATGTGAATATCCTGTTGTATCCATGGCTTTTCCTCTTTCTTGTTGTCCAGAGGAACATAAATAAAGTGGTTTGTGCAGCAGCTCTGTTCTTCTGGGTTTTCTTAGCAACTTTCTCTTTTGTTCTCCCAGTCGCTCCACCAGCTAGCCTAAAATTGACAAGATCCCCACTCTGTCATCATGACCTTCACTCTGTCATCATGATGAGGAAGATCTCTCAGAGTCGGACTTCAGAAATTCACCACACAAACAGTGTGGCAGCTTTCGGAAATGATAGACTCACTTTAGCTAGCATGGACAGAGGTAGACTATACAAAACAAGAGAAATGATAGTCCACATCTAATGTCCTTGGTTTCCTCTACATCATGTTTGTATATGGTGACGTATTTTTTAAAACTGTTCATTGATTAGATCACAAGAAGCACAGATAGCAAGTATTTTAGTGGCTTAAGAACAAAACTTTGGAGACAGACAACTCTGAATTCTAATTCTGAATTCAAGCCCTGCTTTTACCTTTTAATGCTTTGTGATTTCAGGCCAGTAATTTAACCTCATGCATCTCTGTTTCCTCACCTGTGAGATGGTAACAATACTATCTGCCTTAATATGATTATTATGACGTTTCAATGAGCTTAGGTGTGAAACACGTCAACATCAACAATAACAATAGCACATACTTTTAGTTGTTTGATAGCTAGAAATCATTCCCCCACCAGAAATGAATGAGATGGGATCTATTTATCCTTGAGGTAAAAAAAAATAAGAGAGGACAAGAATGAGAAAGTAAAGCCACAGTTCCTACAAAGTTGAAGGGTTATCATGAGACAAAAGAAGCAAACTGATTCTGTGTAGCCCAGAAATAATTACCAAATCCAAGGAGTAATGCTAGTAAGGGCATGTCCTAGTAAATAGAGCTTCTAACTACTGGATGAACTCCCTAGAAAGGTACTGAACTCATCATCAGAGGTATGTAAGCAGTTTCTGTTTGGACATCTGTCATAGAGAAAAGAAATGAAAGGAGTTTCTTCTCTAGGAAAATGCTGGATTGAAAGTTGGGAGGTTCTGACACAAGGCAGGAAGTTTCATATCTAGATATCAGACAAGAGTATATGGTTTAAAGGGCATCATTCAACACCAGAGACAACCACAGCAAATGTTTCTGAATTACAGTACATGGGTTCTGCTCACATTTAGCAATCCTAGAAGAAGAAAAAATAATACCATGACTATGATATAGACTGCTGGGTAGTGTTCCAATAAAACTGTCTGCTTCTCTACTTTGCATAATAGAAAGGAAAGGGATGACAAATGTAGCCTTCCTGGTGGCTTTGGCCTGCCATTCTTCCTTAGCTGTCTTGGTCATGGTTATGTCTATGATGGTCAAACTGGAAAGGAAGGGTTTTCAGCACTGAGGTGAAGAACAGCACCATGCTGATAGGTGAATTAACAGGAGTGTCGAAGCCCACTTTTCCCAGCAGGGGGTGTTCTAGTTTATCTTCCTGTCTACCCACTTCTCAGTCACAAGTGGGTAGAACCAATCACCACACTAATATTCTGCAGATTTCTGAGAAGGCAAGGGAGAGAACTATATGAAAAAGGAAGGTAGGTAGGTAGGGATATGCAAGGTCTCCATTTGGCCTTCACCCAACTAGCCATTACTGATGCCAGTGATGGTTTCACTCAGCATTAGCCCAAAGGCTCTAAGACAGGACCAAAGTTCTATTTATCTGCAAAGCTAAGGAAAACCAGTTAGAGGCTACCAGTGTCAGTCAGGATGAAATCCACAGAGGATATAAAGCAGAGGCCACCTGTCTTTTTTTTTTAATATATATTTTTATTATAAAGATACTGTACAGAGGGGTTACAGTTACATGGGTAAGATAATGAGTACATTTCCTATCAAGCATTGTTACCCACCTTTGTTTTTTCGCTCCCATCTCTTCACTCCCCCCAATTCCTCCCTCCCCCCCAAAGTTGTAAAGTTCATCTGCAACATAGTGTCTTGTACATCTCATTGTAACAATGGGTCAACCTGTATCCTTATTTCAGCTTTTTGTTATTTCCCTTCCCCTCCCCAAATTAGAAAAATGTATGTACAAGATTCAGGGTACCAGAATCAAATACCCCTCCCTGAATTAGAAAAATATATATACAAGATGCAGGGTACCAGAATCAAATACAGTGAAAACAGGGGTTATACCGTGGGGGAAGAACATATATAAGAAACAAAAAAAATCACATAGTGCATTATAAGTACATTTAAAACATCAGCAACAAAGATAAAACCTCTTGTGTCCTTATCTTGGGATTCATTTCACTTAGCATCATCTTATATGGTCATATATACATAGCTTTTGACCTTTTCTGCTTGTCCTAGACATATACTAGCTATTGCAGACAAGGGAAACCATGGGACCTATGCTTCTTTGGGCCTGGCTTAATTCACTTACTATATTTTTTTCCAGGTCTTTCCATTTCCTAACAAATGGGTCAATGTCATTCTTTCTGATGGAGGCATAGAATTAATGTATGTGTGTGTGTGTGTGTGTGTGAGAGAGAGAGAGAGAGAGAGAGAGAGAGAGAGAGACATTTTCTTGATCCATTCATCCATCTACTGTGTGGTTCCATATCTTAGCTATGGTGAATAATGCTGCAATAAACATAGTTGTGCTGGTAGCTTTAGTGTGGCCTTGTTTGTGATCATTTGGATAAGTGCCCCAAAGTGGGATTGCTGGGTCATAGGGGAGCTCTATGTGGAGTCTTTTGAGGAACCTCCATACTGCTTTCCAAAGGAGGCTACCTGTCTTGATGAGGCTGTTCCCTGTACTGCAACAGGAGGAACCTTTACTAGGTGGTTTTCCTGTGGCCTTTGGAATGAGGGCAGAGAAAAGACACATGATGAGCTTGTAGTCTTTCAATGCAACTCAGTGGCATAACCACTTTAAAGCATCCCAATTCATTTTTCTAAATAGAAAGAGCAGAACCAACTATGGAAGTGAGCAGTTAATATTCGTTAAGCATGGAATCTTACTCCTGCAAAGACCGACTGACATATACTGTACATATACTGTATTGTCCCTTTGCACTTTTGTCTTATTTGGTACCTTCAGCAGTCTCATGAGGTTAAGTATGATTTTTTTACATTTCCCACTTGAGACCACTGAGAATCCCAGAGATCAAATCTTTGGTTTGCTTTCACATGGCAAGTGAAGACCTGGATTCAAACACAGCTCCTTTCTACTACACCATACTGGGACGTCCCCAGTTTTCTCTGGGTAAAATCATATCAAAAGAGTTAACAGGAAAAAGCAGAATAACAAGTAAGCAGAGGCACCATTTAGAAGTGATGGGGGTAAGGAGAAGGGAGAAGAACACGTGATTTCCAGCGTCAGAGCCAGGTGTGATGGCACATGCCTGTAATCTCAGAACTCAGGAATCTGAGACTGGAGGATTAGGAGTTTGAGGCCAGCCTGGACTACATAGTAAGACCTTGTCTCAAAAAAAATCCCAGGTTCATCGAAATGTTTTAGGACTTCAGAACTTCTTAGCGCTTGCTGCTAAAGTCCTTTTTTCTTCTGCTCTGGATTACCACACACATGTTCAAGGTTCTTCTGTGTTCTCCACAGCCTTCTGAGGCCCCTTCAATCATGCATTGTCCAGAAGTTTCTTGATGCTTCCAGAGCCTTTGAAGGTTCATCAAGGTAGTAATTATTATAGGACCTCCTGCTACCCCTGGGGTAGAAAATCTAAGATTCCTAGTCACTTCCTCTTTCCAGAGTATTTGAACCAAGACTACTGTGTCCCCTAACTCTTCTGCATTCTCCACCTGAGTCCCTGCTTCCTGAGTACTTGGAGGGGATCAAGATTAGGAGTTGTTTCTCTGGAGACTCGGCTGAGCCAATAAGGCTCCCAGGTCAGAGTGGACTTAAGAGACAACATAACAGGAATGGCTTAAATTTAAATTAGACCAATACAAGTATGAATCCCTGTTCTAACTGTGTGGCTTTGGTAGAGAATTTAGCCTCTTTAGGCATCAAGATTCTCAAAGTAAGAGTGATTAATACCTATTTCCCTAAGTTTTATTGAGG